GGCAGACTCATTTTGGAGGAAGGCATAATGTGGACTCTGCACACCCACATATGCAGAGTGGATGTGATTCTGGAGAACCAGGTGGTTCTGATTAAATACAGCATGCTTTTTGGGTTCTCTGAAGTAACAGTACCTAACACAGTGAGCCATTTTCTCACTGAACTTCAGAAACACGATCTAGTTGGCAAATTTCTGATGAGCTGTTGAGGCCAGTAGGGATAAAAAGTGGGAGCTGAGGTGCAGGGGGACCGTAGCTCAGCATCCGTTATTCAACCACCACGTTACATTTACTCTGATTAAACGTTCAGACAAAAGCACAACTTTAGAAATAAGCAGTTTTAATTTGATGTGCAGTTCAAAATGTTTGCATGCAGTTCTAAAACTGTTCAGTTAAAGAGGAACAGGAAACAATGAAATGAACCAAGTTAACATTTATAATCAGAAGCTGGAAATTTCCAGAAACAGAATCAAAAAGCTGCAGTAAATAATCCAGCTTTGACCTGAACTGTTTACTTCCTGCTGAGGTCGTTTCCAAGCTCTGCTCGCCAGCAGCTGGACTTCACCTGCAGAGTCACTCAGATTCATCAGAGGAACAATCAGCCTGGTTAACAGGACAGATGATCAGAGGAGCAGAGTTTTTACCTCCAGCATTAAGGCTAGGACTGAAGAATGGGTAGAGTTTCTCCTTGAAGCTGCAGCCAGTAAAGGAGTAGATCAGAGCTGCAGCATCTACATCATAGAAGGAGACCAGACCCTCCTCATAATCCACAAACACCCCGACCTTCTGAGGACCAGGATGGAGATGGAGGTGGACATCAGGGCCATCAAGAGCTTCATACTCATTTCCATTTCTCAACCAAATAGTCCAGAAACCGTTCTTAGGACTCAGGTTGATGGTTCCCTTCCTCTTGATGGACTCTCTGGCCACTCCTAAATCCCAGTCAGTCTTTCCTTTAACCTGAACCTCAAAGTAAAATCTGCCTGAAGAGAAACTCTGCTGTCCTAAAACACATGGACACTGATCAAATCTCTCTGGATTGTCTGGAAGTTTCTTCCTCTCATCTCCATGTTTCACCTGTTTTCCATCCTCAGACAGGATGAGGTGACGATGAGCCGTATCAGGATCCAGAGTCACATCCACTGCAAACTGCTGGAACCTCTTCATCTCAGCCTCCATCAGTTTCTTCATCCTCTTCATCTCCTCCTGCAGCTCAGCCACAGCTCTGACCGCAGTCCCCTCATAGTATGGTGGATGAACTCTGACCTCTGTCCAGGTCTTGGTGGGTGGAGCAGCTTTCAGGGAGGAGCAGCTTTGGAGGAGGTGGAGGGGATCTTCATCCTGTGAGAGCTGCTTCACCTCAGAGCTCCTCTTCTTCAGCTCAGAGATCTCCTGCTCCAGATCTCTGATGAAGTCTTCAGCCTGTTTCTCTGTAGTTTCCTGTTTGTCTTGGATCTCCTTGAGGAGCTCCTTCAGGCCTCTCTCAGCAGACTCCATCAGAGCTGTGAAGACCTGAACGCCTTCTGCTTTCTCTCTGTCTGCAGCATCTTTGCTGATCTTCACCGACTCTCTGATCTCCTGGATCTTCAGTTGTCTCTCCTGGATCATCTCCTGAACTTCAGCCTCCATCTTCCTCAGCTCTGCCTTCTTTCCTTCAGATTCTTCTCTCAGAGGAACAAACTCGTGGTTCTTGTGGTCAAAAACAGAGCAGACCAAGCAGACGCATGTCTGGTCGGTCCTACAGAACAGCTCCAGAGGTTTATCGTGCTGCAGACACATCCTGTCCTCCAGGTTCTCCACCGGCTCCATCAGCTGATGTTTCTTCAGACGTGGAGCGGTCAGGTGAGGCTCCAGGTGAGTCTGGCAGTAGGAGGCCAGACACACCATGCAGGACTTCAGGGCCTTCAGTTTGGGTCCAGTGCAGACGTCACAGGGAACTTCTCCTGGTTTGGCAGCTTGTTGCTCTGAGCTGCTGCTCACTTCCTGCTGAGCTTCACCTCTGAACTGATCAACCATCTCTTTTAATAAAGTGTTGACTCTCAGCTGAGGCCTGGAGGC